GTGCGTTCCTGGGCGGAGCTGTGTGGAGCGCGGTGCGTTCGGGGCGGAGCTGTGTGGAGTGCGGTGCGTTCCGGGTGTCGGGGGCATGAGTTTGTCTTGCCAGCCTCTTGGTCTGTCCAGCCATCTGTCCGTCCCCCCCCACCCCACGTGGAGATGAGAGCAGGGCCTCACAGGACGGCCGCTGGCCACTGAGGCAATTGGGGAACGAGGTGCAGGCAAGGCCCCAGGTTGGGTCTGTCCTCGCCAGCCCCAGCCGCGGTGGGGCCTGGGCTGCTGTCCCCGGGTGGCCTTGGGGGAAGGGCTGGCTTCAGAGCACTGGCCAGCCGCCCTCCAGCTCCGGACTCCGCGCTGGTCTGTGCGACGTTTGCCGGACGTGGCCCCCTCGGGAGCAGGCCTAGGCCTGCAGCCGTCCTGGCAGCTGCCTCTGTGGCCGTGTGTGAGCGTGGCCTCTGGGCGTGGGGCCGTCTCCCGGGGGCCCGGAAGGCACTGGTGGGAGCTGCCCCACTAACCGCGTGCGTCTGTTTTATTTTCCCTCCTCTTCTCCACCGTTGCTTCCTCCTGTCTTTCAGTGTGTCACTTTCTAAAAGGTAGGTCTGAGCGCTCGCCCCGCCGCGCCTGTCTCTGTGCGCCACCGGGGCCCTCGCACTCCGGCTCTCAGCTTAGCTGCCCGCGGGCCTGGCTTCTGCGGTGCTGCCTCAGCCTGACTGTTGGTCAGGTGCTGTCTGTCTGTCTGCTTGGCTATCTCTGTGCTGCTGTCTGTCGGTGCTTGGCTGACCCTGACGCCTCATCCTGTCAGAGCGGACTGACCGTGTCCTGATCTGTCCCATCCGGGCTGGGTGCCGTCCCCCGGCTGTGCCCAGGGTGGGAGACAGGCCCCCCGGGCGGCAGCACGGCCCAGTCTCTCCTGGATGGCACCTGAGGACCGGGTACCAGTGCTGGGGGTGCTGGGGTCCCCTGAGGCGCAGCTCAGCAGGTAGCGTGCGGCAGGGGCGGGGAGGCGTGGCCGGGGCGCCGTGGTCTGAGCCCACCGCTCTCCCAGGCAGTTCGTGCACCTGGCCGTCCACGCAGAGAACTTCCACTCGGAGATCGTCAGCGTGAAGGAGATGAGGGACATCTGGTCGTGGGTCCCCGAGCGCTTTGCCCTCTGCCAGCCCCTGCTGCTCTTCTCCTCGCTGCAGCACGGCTACAGCCTGACCAGGTAGTGCCCGTGCCGCCCCGTACTAGTGCCCGTGCCCAGGGGGCCTGCAGGGCCGTGGCGAGCTGGGGGCCGCCCCACATGCCCTCCCCTGGGGGTGCCCCCACCCTTGACCCAGGAAGGGTGGTACAGGCAGAGCTGGCTCTGCCCCTGCTGTGGGCACTGTCCGTGCCCCCCCGGGGGCTCACGTAATCCAGCTGCACCCCAGTCTCTTCTTTGCGTTCCTCACCCCCCTCCCTCAAGGGCTCAGGGCCTCTGGGGTGTGCTGCCCTCTAGTCCCACTTCCCTACAGCACCAGCCCCTTTGCCTGGGGGCCCTGCATAGACCAAGGGTGTTGTCTGCTAGGGAGGGGGAATGCAGCTCGCGACCACCAGAACCTGGGGTCTACAGCGGGCTTGAGGACACACTCGGGTCCCGCGAGGAGGGCAGGAGCTTGGACCCCAGGCTCTCTGCCCGACAGCCCCAGCTCCTTGGGCTCCAGGGGCTTCTCTGCAGAGGCTGCCAGGGCGGCCCGGGCCGAGATGCTGGGCGGACACAGGCTGGCATGTGTGGTCTCTGTCCCCAGCGCTGGGGTGGCCCCGGCAGAGTGCTGAGGGGCTGCTGTCCTCACAGGCTGGCACGTGGTCTCTGTCCCCAGGTTGTATTTCCAGTGTGAAGGCCACGAACCCACTGTCCTGCTGATCAAGACCACCCAGAGGGAGGTGAGGAGGCCTGGGGTCTGGGCCAGCCTCGGCTGACGAGCCGCTCAGCAGACCTGCCCAGCTCGCGGGCGTCTGCCCCTCCACAGAGAGGCTGGTCCCCAGGGACCCAGGGCCTTCATGTCTCCCGGGATCCGGGTCAGGCCACACAGCCTGCTCCCGTTCGACGGGTGGACTGGGGAGCCACACCGCCACCCGCTGACCCCCGGTCCTCAGTGCCCTGCCCTGCAGCGGCTGTCCCCAGGAGGTCGGAGCTCATGCCCGAGGGCACCCAGGGTCTGTGATGGGTTCCAGCCCCTCGCCCACCTCAGAGCCCTGCGCCCGGCCCTGAGCTGGGCACCTGGTGGCAGGTGCTCTGGTCGCTCCAGGCACCACTTCACGCCACAGAGCTCCCACCGACGGGGAATCAGAGGCTCCGCGGGCAGCGGGCGGGGGCTTGGGGTGCAGGAGCACCTCTCGGAAGCTCCTGCTGACGCTGCTCCCTGGCGGGCCCTCCCCAGGTCTGTGGGGCGTACCTGTCGACGGACTGGAGCGAGAGGAACAAGTTTGGAGGCAAGCTGGGGTTCTTCGGGACGGGAGAGTGCTTCGTGTTCCGGGTGAGTGGGGCTCGCCGGGCTGGGCCGAACAGGGCCCAGGTGAGACCAGCAGCCACCCGGGGCCCCGTGGGCCCTCCCTGTGGCCAAGGCTCCAGCCAGGAGCCACTTCCCCCTGAGGGGACCGTGGCCCTGCCCCACGGCCATGCCCCCACGTGACTGGTCTGTGTCCATCAAAGCGGTTGCCTCTCCAGGATGGCTTTCCCCTTACTCCGGGGCTGGTCATCGGGCCGTGAACCCTGAGGGCCAGGCAGTGGGTGTCTGCCCGTGTGGCCGTGCTGGGCTCCGGGTGGAGGTCTGTGGGCTGGGCGTGGCTGCGCTTAACCCTACAGCCTGTCCCTCCCTGACAGCTGCAGCCTGAGGTCCAGCGCTATGAGTGGGTGGTCATCAAGCACCCAGAGCTGACCAAGGCGCCGTCCCTGGTGCCCTCAGACACCGCCACGCCCGTCCAGCCTGGCCACTCCGTCTCTGCAGACCCTGCTAACCGCCTCTCACCATTCCTGGCCACTCGGCACTTCAACCTGCCCTCCAAGACGGAGTCCATGTTCATGGCCGGGGGCAACGACTGCCTTATCATAGGTGGGCCCCCCAGGCCGGGGTCTCCTGAGCCCCTGGCAGAGGGGAGACCCGGCCATTGGGGTGGAGCAGCATGAGGGCTGGCAGTGAGTGGGGACGGGAGGGTGGGTGAGGGGACAGGCTGGGCCCCGCTTCCAGCGCCCGTCGGCCCTGGGCTGTGGGAAGGCCCTCAGAGCAGCTCACCAGGTGCTGGCAGGGATGCCCGGCGGGGGGGCCTGGACACGGGCCGCCAGCCTCCGGGACAGGAGCCGCTCTGACTGATGGACCGTCCACAGGCGGCGGGGGCGGCCAGGCGCTCTTCATAGACGGGGACCTGAACCGCGGCCGGACGGGGCACTGCGACACCTTCAACAACCAGGCCCTGTGCTCTGAGAACTTCCTCATCGCAGCCGTCGAGGTGTGGGGCTTCCAGGACCCTGACATGCAGAACCCAGGCCAGTGACACAGCCTGCTGACGGTGACCGAGCCCGCGTGGGGGCAGGGGAGACCAAACAGGAGACCCCCACGTGCTTGGGCAGGGCGGGTGGGCAGGGTTTCCACGTGGGGCCCCCACTGGCTCAGCCCAGGCCCCCTGTGCCCACCCACACCTGTTGGGGCTCTCAGGTGGCTGAACCCCCCTCAGTCCCCCATGTGACCGAGGGCCCCCAGGGTCTCTGCTGTCTCCTGTGCCCTGGGCACCTCCTTGCATGCAGGGTTCCCCCCTCTTTAGACGTGTCTGAGCCCAGGCCTCAGGGACCCGGCTCCTGGGGTCTGAGACTTAGCCCTGGGGCAGCCTGGGAGCTGAGCACGCTGCCACCCAGTGTGGGTCCTCGGTGCCCCCTGCTGGTGCTCTTCAGCATTATGCCGGCTGCCTGGGCGGCCCGGGACTCCTCGACTCCCCCCACCAGCACCCGCCAGCAGGGCCCCACCCCAGCCTGGCTCACGCCCCCCTCGGGCAGTGACCCCACGTGGCCATGGTGGAAAGGGTGGGCAGTGGCCGGGCCGGCAGTGAAGAGCTGGAGGGTGACCCGGGTCCCCGTGTTCTGCACACCTCTGGCTGGGCCCCAGGTGCACGCACCTGTGTGGTGGACTGCCAGCCACTCCTCCAGGGCCCACAGAGCCCTCCACATCACGTGTCCCCGTGGCCAGGAGCTCCTGCAGGCTCCTCACGGTGCTGCATCCAGTGTCCTGTGTCCTTGGTGTGCGGCCCAGGACCCGCCCAGCCCCCACACCCCGTGTGCTGGCCCAGGACCCGCCCAGCCCCCTCCGCACTGTCACGTGACCATGGGCCTCCCAGGAGCTCTGTCTCCATCTCCTTGCAGCACTGTCCGCATGGCTTCCTGTGTCCCCGGTGTGATGGCCCCAGGACCCGCCCAGCCCCCACCCCAGCAGGTGTTGCAATGTCACTGGATCTGCCGTCCCTTCTGCCCTCACACCTGCCTCGCCAGCCTCACCTGTGCACAGCTGCTCCGCTGCTGCCCCGCCCCTGCCGCCCGCTCCATGGGGAGGCGTCCTTCCTCTGCGCTGTGTGGCACTGACTAGCACAAGCCCTGGCTGTGCAGCGGGCGAGGTGCCAGGCAGACTTGTGCAGTGAGGACAAGAGCAGCCCCTCGAGCTCCCGTGACCCTCAGCTGGTCCTGAGGGGCTGGCTCTGCAGAGGGAGGGGACGGGTGGAGGCCAAGGCGACCCTGGAGGCCTGGGGGACGGGGGCACAGGCCCTGGGACCTGCCACCCACAGGCCTGCCTCCAGCCAGCCCGCTGGGTGTCCCTGTGTGCCGCCTCTGCCCACCTGCACATCTTCCCTCACTCTCGCGGGGGCTGGTGCCCCTCAGCCCTCCGGCTCAGGGCTCACTCTGAGCAGGGCTGTAGGAGGATGCCCAGGCAGCCGTGGCTTTGGGAAGCCCGCAAATGTGTCTCAGAACTCAGTTTCCCCAACTGTAAAATGGGGACAGTGGTCCTACCTGCTCTCCTCACAGGACTGGCGGGAAGTGGGCAATGGGGCGGAGTAGTGCTGTGGGCAGGAGTCCCCTCACCCCCACAGATGATGGCGCCCCCTCCCCGGAGCCCTGCACTTGCCTGTACCGCCAGCTTTGGTGTCCATTAAACTGTCTTGTTGCATTGACTCTAAGGCCAGTCTCCTCTGTGCCCACAGTACCCCCAGGAGCCCCACGATTAAACAGTGTCACCCCGCAGGGCAGACAAACCCTCCCAAAGCCTCTGGGGTGAGGTCCGCACTGTGGAAAGCTTCCTTCCCAAACGTCCTGAGCTGGGCTTCTTGCTGCAACACAGAGACCCCGCCCCCCGCCCTTTCTGCGGGCAGGCTCCGCCCCCTGTCCCCCGCCCCGCGCCCTTCCCGTGGGCAGGCTCCGCCCCATCAGCACCCTGCGTCCTGAGGAAAGCTCCCTGCTTTGTGCCCACTAAATACTCCGCTTCTTTGATTGTAATACTTTCTTCCTAATGTTTCTACCAACCCAGAGAGATGGGGGCCGTTCTCTTTCTTATTCTTACAGGCGTCCCTGTTATTGTCCAATGTTACACTTGTGTGCAGTCCAGTCGATTCTGACCCACAGCGCCCCTAGAGGACAGAGTGGAACTGCACCACAGGGTCTCCAAGGCTGTCGGTCTTCCAGAAGCAAAGCCCAAACCACACCCACTGCCTGGAGTCCATTCTGACCCACAGCGCCCCTAGAGGACAAAGTGGAACTGCACACAGGGTCTCCAAGGCTGTCAATCTTCACGGAAGGAGCTCTGGTGGTGCAATGGTGAAGAGAACAAGTGCTAACTGAAAGGTCAGCGGTTCAAACCCACCACCTGTTCCACAGGAGAAAAGACTTGACTGAGCTGTAAGGATCACAGCCTTGGAGGCCCTGTGGGCAGTTCCACTCTGTCCTCTAGGGGTGGGATGAACTCGAAGGCGGTGTGTTTTTTATCTTACGGGAGCAGATCCGCAGGAGCCACAGGGTGGGTTCAAACTGCCACGCTTGTGGTTAGCAGCTGAGCACTTAGTCATTGTGCCACCAGGGCTCCTTTGTCTGGTATTGGGTGTTCCTAAAGAACATAACTTTGTTCCTGGTCTCTGTCACGTCTTTTCTGCTGTTTACCATTAGCTCTTGACGTTAAAAATCAGGCAAAATTTGACAGAATTTCATGAGGTTTTTTTTAGAGGTTTTATTCCTTTTATTTTTAAATTGTGATTTGGGTGAAAGTTTACAGAGCAACTTCGTTCTCCATTCAGCAGCTCAGACACACTGTTTCCTGGCGTGGACTGCCATCCCCAGTGTAACAGCTCTCTTCCCGCTTCCTCCCTGTGGTTGCCTTTGCCTTTGCCCGTGGCCTTTCCTCTGCACTCCTGCCCCTTGAGCTGCCTCCCTTCACCCAAGTTAATCTGTGTCTAAGTGATTGACCCTCCCTTTCCCTCCCGCCCCTGGGAACCTTCAAAGGATCGTTCTGAGTAAGCCTTCTTGTGGTGATCCATCTTAGGCCGGGTTCTCTAGAGAAGACAAACCAGAGAGGCTTATGTATCTATAAATATACACAGAGGCTTGTCACAAGGAAATGGCTTGCTTGGTCGTGGAGGCGGGCAGGTCCCAGGTCCGTGGGGCAGACGTCAGGGTGGAGGCTCCTCCTGATTCGTGGCTACAGGGGCTGACGGACACCAGAATGGCAGGTTGGGTGGAAGGCTGCTGCTCACGGGCTGCAGAGGCCAGCGGGTCCCAAAGTCGGCAGGCAGTATGGCGGCCGCCAGCTCAAGCCCAAGGGGCCAGAGGTCCGATGATGACAAGCCAGGTGCAGGAGCCCAGTTGAACAGAAGGCCAGCGACCTCTGCCAACCGTCCATATCTATTGGGTGCAGGCCACACCCCCGAGGAAACTCCCTCTCCACTGATTGGCTGCTCCTAGCAGATCTCATCACGGAGGTGATGACATCATATCAGATCTCATGGGGGATGACAGCATCCTGAGCCCAACTGCAGAGTCATGGCCCAGCCACACTGACACACAACCTTAACCATCATAGTCTCGTACAATAGTTTTCCTTTTGCGACTGACTGATTTCACTCAGTATGACGTTGTGATAGTTGAAGATGTGTCAACTTGGCTGGACTCCAGTTGTGAGTGGTGGTTCCCATGATGGATCACATGACTGAGTTCTAAGCGGTCGGTCTGCCCAAGGGGAGTTTCCCCAGGGGTGTGGCCTACCTGCAATGCTATCCCAGGGACAAGCTGGAAGAACGGCATTCCGGACTATATACTTCCTGGAGCGAGCAGCTCACTGCTCGCCCTGGAGGTTTTCGGATTCATTCTTTGTTGGGAACAGCGACCAGCGCGCTGCATGTCAGCTTGATTCTCTCGGCTCTGTTGTGCTTACGGGAACCAGACGGCTCCGGGCCCCATCTCTCTCCAGAGACGAACTTTGTGACTTGAACTCCTCTGCCGTGTGTGCGAAAGCCAGACGGCTCCGGGCCCCATCCCCCTCCAGAGACGAACTTTTCAGCTTGAACTTGTCGGCTTCTACACGCTTATGAGCCATTTATCTAAGATAAATTTCTCTCTCTCTCTCTCTTTCTCTCTCTATAAATATATATATATATATATACTTTGCTGGTTTTTGTGTTTCTCTAGAGAACCCAATCCAACACAGACATCCTCCGGGTTTATGTTCAGTGCCACTGAGTTGGTTTCACCTCGGCAACCCCGTATACAACAGAAAACACTGCCGGGCCTTGCACTGTCCTCACGGCTGTTGCTGTTGGAGCCTGTCGTTGCAGCCGCTGTAATAATCCATCTTGTTGAAAGTCTTCTCCTTTTTCGCTGTCTACTTTACCAAGCATGATACCCTTCTCCGCGGAATGGTCCCTTCTGACAACATGACCAAAGTACGAGAGAGGAAGCCTGGTCCTCACTTCTGAGGGGCATCAGCTGCCCTTCCTCAGGACAGACATGTTCGTTCTTCTGTTGGTCCATGGCCTGCTCGATATTCTTCACCAACACCACGATTCTAATGCACCAATTTCTCTGTGGTCTTCCTTGTTCATTGTCCAGCTGTTACATACAAATGAGGCTATTGGAAATCCCATGGCTTGAGTCAGGCGCACTTCAGTCTTCAAAGGGACATCTTTGCTCCTTAGCACTTTAAAGAGTGCTTTTGCAGCAGATTTGCCCAATGCAATAGGACGTCTGATATCCTGACTGCGGCCCATAGGTCCTGATTGTGCAGCCAAGTAAAATGAAATCTCTGATAACTTAAATTTCTTCTCCATTTATCACGATGTTGCTTATTAAGCCAGCTGTGAGGATGTTTGTTTCCTCTGTGTTGAGGTGTAATCCATGCTGCAGACTGCAGTCTTTGATCTTCATCAGTAAGAGCTTCCAAGTCTCCTGCGTCTGCAGCCAGCAAGGTTGGGTCATCTGCATATCGCAGGTTGTTAATGAGCCTTCCTCCAATCCTGATGCCACGTTGTTC